GTGGTGGAGTCCCCAGCGCATGATGTCCAACAACGTGTCAGAGAGTGAAAAAGAGATTCCCACCGGCTGTGTCTCTTTTTATACACAGTGGTTTGACGTATGTGTTTGCATTCGGGTTCGTGGGCTCCATCTTGTTGGGTTTTGTGTTTTTGGTTGGTTGTTGTTTTCGTGTTTCGTGTTTCTTTTCCCATTAATATGCAGTGTTTCCTTTCCTTCTACGATGACCTGGGCACTCCGCCCACATGGCGTCCGCACTCGTGGAAAAACCTTTGCAAGAACTGGCCAGCAAAGATTTGAGTCGCAGCTCACACCTGAGCTCACAGCCCCAGTACAAAGAAGTCACAGTCCATTTTCACCTTGTTTCACCTCAGATGTACAGAAGTGAATCTCCGACACTTTCGCTTTGTTGGTAGCTGTTTTGTTTGTTTGTGGTTGTGTGTTTGTTTCTTGGTGCTCCTTTTTGAGTACTTGGAGATTCAAACCTTGGTCAAAGATGACCTGTGCACCATGCACACATGGCGTCTCCACTCGTGCAAAAAAATGTGAATCTGGCGTCAGGTTGAAACCATGGAGAGTGTGATGGAAGGCTTTCTGCTTTATTTATTTCTTGCTTGATTGAAGATGTGTCTTGCTTTGTGAAAGAATGGAAAAGGAAGAGAAAGCAAGAGAAAGAAAGAGAAAGCAACAGGAAGCAAAAGAAAGGAAAAGAAAGGAAAGCTCAGATAGGCAGGTGGAAATGGCAAGGGTTTTAAACTTCTAGAGCATGGATTTGCTGTGGCATGACGAGTTCACTGTGTGCAGGATGATTGGAACCAAGTTCATTGCCAGTTTAGCTTTCTAGAGAGTTTCTTGTGATGTCTCTTGCAGTTGCTTGGAGCTTCGTTCATCGCAGGTTCAGCTTTCAGCGAGTTTCTTGTGAGTTTACTTGTGCTTGTTTGCAACTTTGTTCATTGCAAGTTTGTGTCTAGATAGCTTCTTGGGGATTTCATCTGCAGTTGATTGCAACTTTGTGTACTTGTCAGGTCTTGAGGTTAGAGGTTTGCACGGCATTGTAACTCCAGATAACCCTTTCGCACCCTGAGCTGACAGGTAAGTTGTCCTTGAAAGGCTTTTGCTTTTGAGGATCCCGATGATGAGACAAGAAGGCCATGCAGAAGGGATCTGACCCGGAGATCTCATGGCTGGCCTCTGAGGGATCCTCTTTATACGTTTCTTCCTTGGTTGAATGCGTGTTGGTTGAGGTTTGAAGTTGGCTCTTTGTTGGATCTGGAGTTCTGCTTGGGTTGGACTCGAGATTACCTCTGGATTGATACCATTGAGATCGCCTTTGAGGGCAAAAGTTTGGATCTTAGTTGATGTGTGATCCTTAGTTGCTCAAAGAAAACGAATAGAAGAAGAGAAGAAGACAGAAGAAGAGAAGGGGTGTGAAACATAGCGTACAGCGCACGTGTACAGTGTATGGCTCACCTAGTGCTTGCTTCTTTGGGGAGTTTTCGTTTTTAGAGTGCTTGGGGTTGGAGCTGAGTGGTGGTCTGTGCCCTTTTTGTGTTTGACCTTCGACCACCTTAGCAGGAGGATGTTTGAAGTGGCAACTTGTGGCCAGGAATAGCTTAGAGAACCTTCTGGTAGAGCGCGAGGTGTTTGGAGACTGTTTGAGATAGTTCCTTGTAGTTTTGTGTAGCTTTGAGATGACTATGGGTAGTCTTGTACTGTTTTAAGAGGAGTGGACAAGCTTAAGACAAGCTTTGAGAACGTTTGAGACTGTCTCCACCGACTGTGACTTTGGCTGAAGGAGCGGGATCGAAAAGAAGCTTGCGCTACAGTGTTTTCACAATTCAGGAATCTCAAACAGTGCGTCGCAAGAAAAAGTTGATGTTCTTCAAACTCAGGCGGCAGCCTGGCATCGTTTGCAACAAACAACTTGGACGTCGCCACGGTGGGCCTCCCAGTGCATCATTTTCATCGGAATCAGATTCCGATGTTGTGGTGGCTTGCCTTGCAAAAATCCCACCTTCTTCATGAACTCTGCGATGGTCAGATCGCGTCTCTAGCGCCATACAGGCTTCTGACCAATTTTCCAACTGCATCTCAATGTTCTGGCTTCTTGCATTCAGATGGGATCTCAAGACAGTTCTCTGGTCAAAAATCCAGAGATTGCTTGGCCTTTCTTCTATCGTCGCTGACTTTGATGAGCAGAACTCCCACAGATCGACAACGTCGATCTCATCTCTTCTGGCTTTATCTGCCTTTTCAGGTAGGAGTTCTTTTCCATTGATGTCATCACACTAACTTCTGCCAGTCTCTTGCTTCTTCTTCCATTTCTTCTGGCAGGGGAATCTTTTCTTCAGACACTGGTTTCTCTGGGCCGATGCCAGAAAGCACTCTTTCCCTGTCTTCCAGAATTGGGTTTTCTAGAGCTATTTCGATGCTTTGGATTTCTCTTGTTCTTTTGGCTTCATCTTCATGTTTGCCTTCTGCTTGTCTCTTCTTGTCTCTGTCTGTTCTTGCTTTTGCTGTTGGTGATCCTGCTGGTTCGTGTTGTTCTTCATGTTCTCTCTCTCTCTCTCTTTCCCTATGGGTTTTTGCTGCATTGTGCACTTGTCAGGTGTTTGCACGGCATGGCAACTCCAAGTCAACCTTTTGCATCCTGAGCTGACAGGTGTGTTGTCCTTGAAAGCTTTGCTGTTCGAGGATCCCAATGATGAGACATTGAAGGCCGGCTGGTCTCTGAGGCATCTTTCTTTTGTTTGCTTTCTTGGTTGTTTGCGTGCTTGTTGTTGGTCGAGCTTGATTCTTTGTTGGATCTGGAGTTTTGCTTGAGCTGGACTCGAGTTTACTTCAAGGTTGACGACATCGAGATCACCGTTAAGAACAGGTGCATGGATCTTGGTGTTGTTTGGTCCTCAGTTGTTGTCCAGAGAAAACGAAAGAGAGAAGAAGAGAAGAAGAAGAGAGACAGAAGGCGGCGCCATGTGACCCAAGAAAGGGTGTGAAAGCCAGTGCGTAGCCTGTTTGTACAGTGTGTGGATCACCTAGTGCCTGTTTCTTGGTAGATTTTTGTTTTTGATGACTTGGGATTGGAGCTGACTGTGGTTTGTGGTCCTTTGTTGATGATTTGCTTTGGCAGGATAACCTTTTAGAAGGCTTGGTGTGGCTAGACGTGGCTAGGAGAAGCCTAGAGAACCTGGTAGCACTGCGTGTACATGGAGACTGTTTGAGGTAGTTCTCTTTAGTTTGGTGAACAGTTTTGACTCTTTTAAGAAGAGCTGACAAGCTCTGGAGAAGCTTTGAGAACTTGTGAGACAGTCTAAACCGACTGTGACTTTGGCTCGAAAAGGGAAGCTTGTGCGACCGTATTTTCACAACTTTCCGTTGGGCTGCTGTTTGGTCGTCAATCTGTGATCGCGTGGCACAGTCTTGTGAGTTTGAATGTGAGTGCAAGAACAAACACAGAATATATAATTCGGACACAGAAAAACAAATCAAAAAACGAGTGCGCAGTTTGTGCTGTGGCCGCGTTGGCATGTCGTTCTGCCTTGTGCTCCTTTTGTGTTTGTGCCGTTGTTCTCCAGCTGTTGTTGTTTTTCTCTTGTTCTTCTGCTGTTGTCCTTTCATCCGCCTCTTTTCTTCCGTCCTTATTGTTCTTCTCTGTCCTTTGTCCTGCATGTTGTCCTTCTCTTGTCCTGCCGTTCTGTTTTTGCCAGCCTTTGGCCGCGCTGCGGGTCCAACCCGTTTCCTTTTGGGCTGTCCTCTGTCCTCTGGGTTGAAGAACGTTGTGCTGCCAACAACATTGGAATTCCGCAAACGTGGTGAACTTTTTGTCCGTGTGGGAATGATTGTGAGTTAAGAGTTGGTTGGGTGAGAGTTGAGTTGTTTGAGCTGAAAGTTGTTTGAGTGAAACTGTGTGAGTTGCGTGAGGTGAGAACTGTGCATGCGCTCTGTGATTGGGTTGGGAGAGCTGAGATGGAATTGAGTGAATTCGGCTTGTATGAGTTGAGTGACTGAAGCGGAAGGCTGCGGGAGAAGGAGTAGAAGGAGGAGGAGGAGGAGGCAGCGGAGTGCGCGTAAAGATTGCAAGCACTCCATGCATCACGCATGGACAGAGATGCACTGCCAAGAAGACAGCTGGCAGCCGCCATGAGGATGAAATTCAACGACAATGCCTGATCCTCCAAGCCAACGGCAACCAGCCTTGAATTCTGATTTTTGTCCGTATTCTCACCTTTGTCGCTTTTGGACTCACCTTTGCCAGACCCCTTCCAAAAGGAAACTTTGTTCCACTTGTCCTTGTTTCCCTCATCGTTGAGACGAAACCAGTTTCGTGGAGCCTCGGACAAAGTTGGCCGAATGTGTAGATTTCACCCCTGAAGTGCCAGGGTGGCGGGAATCGGCATTTGCAAAGTTTTTGTTTGCCTCTTCATTCAAGAAGACAGCTTGAGAGGGGGTGCAACTGAGTCAGAGTCATGGTTCTCAATGTGTCAATCTTGTGAATAAGAGGGGAACACTGGTGGCACCAAGGGAGTGGTTGGAGCAGCCAGCACCTCACACAGATGCTACTGACAAAGGAACAACTCTCCTGCTCAGCGACTGCGTGTCCAACAAGGAGGTGATGACGTATTGACAACGTGCATAACATGTAACCAATACTGACGAGTTAGCATATATCTAACATTTTTGTTTCATTTTTTTAAATCATTCAAAACCAGTGTGAAAATCAACCCGAGGCACTTTTCATAGAGCGAACTGCGGCAAATGAAGTGGATAGGATCCAAACCTTTGATGTGTTCTTTTGAATGACAACACCTTCTTTGAGCACGACGGAGACACACAAAACACAATTTTTCTTGACCTCATTTGCAATTTGCAAGATGGTTTGGTTGTTTCACTAGCTTTCATTCATCGTGTCAAGCAAGAGGCCGTCGGGGCAAATGACATGTGACATGTCAGTACAATGCGCCAGTGAACGCTTTGCGTGCTCCCCGTGATTGATACTGTTTCTTCTCGAGGCCTGTGGCAGGAACGGGTAGTTGGTAGCTGGTACAGTGAAGCAGGATGGCTGAGCGCTATGCGATCTCCAAGGTATGGCAGCATTTGTGTGGTTTTCCCTTCGCTTTGATTCGCCCAAAAACAGGTGAATGTGCCAGAGGGCGCAGCTGTGCCGGAGCTTGTCAAGATGAAAATGGAGAAAGAAGAGAAGCTGGCGGAGGCAAAGATGCTCCACAAGGCTAAGGACCATGCTTGCAGATAGTAACGCATGCTTTCGGCAGGAAAAGAAGCAAGCACTGGCTGCGAAGCAAAAGGCTAGAGAGGTGCGTCATTGTTGGGCATTGCTGAAAACAATAAATCAAGTAGGCTGACAGATGTTTTCCAGGAAGAGCGTGCCAAGCTGAAGGAGCGAACGGTGGCCTATGAGAAGGAGCTTTTCTTGTTTTCCAAATTGTCATTGTCCTGAAAAACAAATGCAAACATTATATGGTTTCTTTCCGAATTCCCTCTTGGGAGGAGTACGCAGACACAGCTGCTGAGCTTGTGAAGCTCCGGCGTGAAGCCAAGCTGAACGGCAACTTCTTCGTGGAGCCAGAGGCAATGGCCAAACCTGACAAAGTCCCAACTATTTTGGACGATGTGAAACCGTTTATTCTGTTTCCTTTTCAACTTGATGTCCTTCTAGGCAAAACTTATTTTTGTGGTGCGCATTGCGGGTATCATGAAGATGAGCCCAAAGCCAAGGACGGAATAGCCAATTTGGGGCTCTGAAGGGTTTCAAGAAAAGTTGCAACAAGTTGCAAGCTCATGAAAGACTCAAGAATTTCAGAGAAAGTTGCCGTTCGATAGGGGCTGCACTCTCGCCAGGAAAGTGCTGCAGCTGCTGAGACTCAAGCAGTTGCACAATGGCGTGTTTCTCAAGGCAGGGGCCAGGCAGAAGGTCAAACTCGATGGAAACATCATTTGATAATACTGACGCATGATTTACATTCTCCAAATGCAAACATTTGCTCCATTAGCCTTTGTTCAGGTCAACAAGCCAACCTTGAACATGCTCAAACTCGTGCAGCCTTATGTCACCTATGGCTATCCCTCCTTGAAGACAGTCAGGGAGTTGATCTACAAGCGTGGCTTTGGCAAAGCTGCATACTCAACTTGCCTTAGGAGCTTGGCATGTAATCTGGTTTCACCGAACCCATTTTAAGGTCAGCAAGCAGCGCATTCCACTGTCCTCCAATGACATCATCTCTGATGCCCTGGGCAAGCCCCATGGATGAATCAGTTGATCTCTTTCTTGAAGATTCCGCAAAAGTTATTACTACTAGGAACAAGAAGCTACTAGGTGGAGGCCATCGCTACTAGTAACAAGAAGCTACTAGTAGCAAGGAGTTTACCAATTCTAAATTCTCTCCTGCACGGCTTTGGGGGCTGCAGTAACTGCGAACCGAGCTCCGTTGAATCGACAGAGTTTGGTGGGTGAGCTTGCCACCAAGGCACGGCATTCATGGCATGGAGGACATCATCCACGAAATTTACACAGTGGGCCCCAACTTCAAACAGGCCCGGCCCCTTTCTGGCAGAAGAAGCCCTGCCATGTCGTCCACCATGGTCTACCTGCTTCAGCCGTGAGAGCTACAGTTTGGTCTCGCTGAGGTCTCCAATTTCTTGTGGCCCTTTAAGCTCTCCTCTCCCAAGGGCGGCTTTGTCAACAAACGTGACAGACTCAGAACAATAAAGGGCTGCTTTTTGTTCTCCATTTATTGAACATGCATTGTCAAGGCCATGGCTATTGTGAAGCTCGTGGTGGTGATTGGGGGAATCGCGAGGAGCTGTCTCCAAGTTTGCATGGTGTTCAGATATATGTTGTTGCTGAGAACAGATGAAGTGAATGATTTGCCAGGAGCTCATCAATGAGCTCTTGGGGCGTATGAACTGAGCCGAAGAACTGGGACCAGCTGCCATCGAAACAAAAGATTTTGACACTTCGACTGTGTTCGTTCAGCCTGAACATTGTGCCCCACTTTGTATTCGCCTGCTGTACTTGTGTAGCCCATAGGCCTGAACTTGCCCTCGCCGATGCGCACAAACGCCTCGCCTCCAAAGACTCTTAGAAGTTTTGCCCGATGATCCTCGTTCCGATCTTTGTGGCCAACTTCAGCCATTCTCCACTCCATATTTGGACCCCCTCCACTGCCCTCCACTGCCAAAATGACATTGCTTCGATTTGGTGTCAGTTCGACTCTTGGACACTTGCTTGCGCTATCGGAGTACCTATTACCTGAACTGTATGTCCCTGACGAAGTAGCACCGCTGTTGCACAGGCGTCTCTGCAATGTTGAAGCAATTCTTGATTTGACCCCTCAACACTGACAGATCAGTTTTCCATGGACACGAGCATCATGTGTATTTGCTTGCTTTTCATCATTTCAATCTTCTCAGTCTAGCACTTCCTTTGCATTTTGGCTCAGCTTTCTGAAGCAGTACAAGAATCCGACATGCACCACACCAGGGCTAATTCTAGAATCCAAGAATCCTGACCACTGAAGCTGCGCTGCAGCCTTCAGTTGGGCCCTAGGACGAAAAGGCAACTTCAGAGCTATGCATCATGGAATGCAGGTGTTGCAAGAGCACTTTGAACACGAGCCCCCAAAATGCATGGATACTCAGCAGCTTCAAACTTAGTGCTGAGTCGTAGACTGAGCATGGTATCGCTGATAGCAGTGGCGTTGCCATTGGCTATGGCTTCACTGGTGGCTGTTCTGGCCATGCTGGTGGCCGTCCCGGTGGCAGGACAACTGCCGGGGCAACCAGCTCAGCCTCCCTGTAGGGGGGGAAGCCTGGGCACCGGAAACTCTCGAAGCGCAGCCTTGCAAGATGCGGTGGAAGGCATCGCGGGGCTCATGCAACGCTTTGAAGAGCTGCAGCCACAAATTGCACAGCTCCCACCGACCGAGCTGCAAGAAATTGCGACTCCTGCGCAGAAGCTCCATGAGCGTTTTGAGAACATGCAGAAGAAGCTAGTTGCCAATGGCAATGCCAACGCAAACCCAGAGTTGGAAGAGGCACGTGTGATCTCAAGCATTTTCCTTAAGGGATTGATCCAGTCAGATATTTTTGCTTGATCTTGATGTCAGGAAGCCATTACCTTCCACAGAGACTTGGCCGTCTTTGTCAATGGGGTTGCCAAAAGGCTCCGCCGCGTGGGTTGCTTCAACGTGTGGGTCCTTTGTCGCAGAAGAGTCAAGGTTGAGAACCTTGCTATTAGGTTGGAGGCAATCGCTATAGGACCTTTGCGTGAACTTCTCCCGCCAGGTTTGGCATCACAGGCCCCAGAGGGCTGCCTGGAGCACCTGGAGCAGGGTCGTTTGCTCCAGTGTCGCTCGGCAGCCTGCCTCGGAAGTCTCAAGGCCAGGCTTTGTGTCATGACTTGGCTGGTGTAGCTTGGGGACGCTCTTGCAGGTGCAGGTGTAGCCGGTGGAACCGGTCCAGCCTCACCTGCGACTGAACAGCGATTGCAGGCTGCAATGCAGGCCATGAGACTGGATTTGATCAGCTCTCCAAGTACAGCCCAGCTTTCTCGTTTTTGGCTCGAGACGACGTGAATTCCTGAGTCAAGCCGCAAACAACACATTCGGATTTGATGATTGGAGTGCTTCTGCAGGCCATTCAGTCGGGGATGCAACGCTTCGAGGCCTTGCACTCGAAGCTCCCGAATTTGCCGCCTCAGGCGCAGCAGCATTGCAAGAGATGTTGTTGCTATATATTACAGTATGCTTTGAGAGGAGATACGCAATGACATACCAAAAAGAGGGGAGCAGGGGAGCAGAAGGACCTCACGTGATGAAGGAGTGCAAATATCAGAGTCAACTTGTAGGGCCTTTTGGCATAGGTGTCCGGACTGAGATCATATCCCAAGATGTTCTCTTGTCAGGTTTTCAACCCTCTAGCCGATCAAGCACAAAAGCTGCATGAAGAATTCCTTCGTTTGCAGCAGAAAGGGATGCAGCTCACTAGTGGCCAGTTGATGCTGGAGGCGGATTTGAGAGTGGCCGCTGCAAAATGGATTTGAATCCTGCTTGCATTTTGGCAGGCGGATGCTGCACCCTATGCCGATGAGCTGGAATCGTATGTGTCAAGGTGACCTCAAGTCGCAATTTATGAGGCGGATGTCGCAAATGTATTCACGAATGTCAGGCAGTTGACCTTCGTGGGTGATGCCGAGTATCAAGTTAAGCAGGCTGCAGGCTCAACAAGCCCCTTGGGCTCAATTGGTAAGTTGATTGAGAAATTCAATTGGCGTCCAAAAAACAAGGGATCACTGTGTTTAATGATGATGAGCCGTTGGGCTTTTTGTTTTTGTTCCAACGCCAAATTTGGAAAGAAGTCGCACCACTGACAGAGAGACTGCGCTTGAAGCTGAGGTGGCCTGGGAGGCTATCAAGGGATGCTGGGTAGTCGGTTGCCCACTGGCACCACTGGCCCCTCAGTCCCACCGCAGCCAATGCCGCCCTTGGGATCGTTCGGAGCTGCACAACCTCCACAGGCGACGAGTTGTGACGCTTGCGCAGTCGTGACAGTTTCAGTGTGACTGCACCACTCATTTTGGCCTCACACTGCAACTAGTGAGGCAGCTGCGCCTGTCCGTGGACAGGCCGCATGGTGTGTGTCGGCTCTTCCAAATCAGATGCCTGGCCCTGTTTTTGAGGTGACACCAGACACTGATCGACGGCTGTCCGCTGTGATTGACAAGGCAAGGCCGAATTTCCTTGTCAATTGGCTTTTAGAAAAAAGACCTTTCCGTTATATATATATATATACACATAATATACGTCAATGGCACATCCTAGCTGCAAACATAGACCTCCTGTTTCTTGTTCACAGTCTGGACAGGTTATCCGCCTCATGCAGGTGCAATTCTGGGGCTGTCTAATGATGTTTGATGCATTTTGATGCCATCCTTGTCATTGTTTTCACAGAAATCACCCCCGACTGCCGAGTCAACTGCCAAGTTCGTGACTTGGAATTTATTATCGTCCTCCAGGAGTTTCAAGGAATGGCTCCGCAGCTTGCCCGTGTTCCACAGCAGGTGAACCAGCGTGAGCAGGGAGAGAAAACATGCAGGGAATTCTTGGGTTCAAGATGCCTCAAGGATTAACTTATCTTTTTCTTCGAGGATTCGTTGATTGTTCAATTGATTTGTTGACTTGAGAAGATAGGAGTTCCTTTCACATGTTGCTCCAAGCGTACACGCAGCATGAATGAAGTGAGAATGAAGTGATTGCGCATTGGGGAGCACAACACCTGGGCCAAATGTGTCGCTGCCGAGCACTCGGTTCACACGTCAGGTGATAGCTCCGCTAGCAAGCATGGGCACATCGTGGGAGTCCTAGCTACACTTAGCGCAATCAGGATCCACTTTCTAGCTACTAGTAGCTTCTTGTTACTGGTAGTAAGGCCAGGAGCTACTAGTAGCGTCCTTGCTAGCGATGCCCTTTGTTCCTAGTAGCTTTCTAAGGTTGATGTCTTCATATTTAACTATTCGTTTTTTGTTTATCACCGCAGTTCCTTCTGATTCTCGGCCACCTGAACGGAGTATCAGGCTTGATACTCGTTTCCGTGATCTTCAGCGACGTGGGACTGAGATCGCTGGTGATAGCACCAGGTGCGACTTTTGCAATGCAAGGTCAGTCCACATGGAGCACAAACCTGTTGAGGCCAATGTCCGAAAAGGATGCTAGCCAGTACTTGAGAGATTTGGAGGCTTTCCACTTGGAACAGGACCGGAGACAGTGTGAAAGAATGGGGGTTCCAAAGGCTTCGAGCGCAATTGTCATGGCATGTCAATTCCCTTTGACTGACGAGGGCCTTGGTGCAAAGGCTTTTGTCCTGGATAGTCTTACATCACTTTAGACTGATGCTTAGTTTGCTTTGAAACTTAAACTCCAGAAGGTTTGACAAACAGGTTCCTTTTGGTTTCGAGAGTGTAAAAAACTGTGCAGGAACGCTACGTCGAGCAGGCGAAGCAGGCGCTGAAGGCTGCCCCACAAGGCCTCAGTTCAGATTGGGGTCACCAGGGTCGTCTCACCGTCTTGGGGCTTGAATTTCACAAAACGGGCCGGAGTGTTCAAGTGATCATGGCCTTTACAAGAGGACTCCTAGGCTTCCGAGTCCTTTGTCCCAAGTCTTCTTGCAAGTTTGCAAGGTCAAGTTGGCCAAAGTGGCCAAGGTGGTCTTGGCAGTGCGAGGCTTGAAGACTTGCGAGGTGCACCGAGAGTGAGCTTTGCCACGAAGTTGCACCAACTTGGCCTATCCAGGTGTTGGTGGGCCTTCCGGTGGATTTGGAGGCCTTCCAAATATCCAGACACCTCCAACTGGCTTGGGAGCAGCGACCATGGGGACGCCCAAGCCCAATGGGTTGGGTGGATTTGGCGGTGGCCTTGGTGGGGGTTTCGGTGGCTTGGGATCTGGCTTGGGCACTGCGCCAAAAGCGCCTGGCATCGGGCTGAATGCACCGACCATTGCGGTCAACAGCTTTGGGACTGGCTTGGGAAGTGCAGCTGGTGCTAGCTTCGGTCGCAGAGGCGGTGTGAAGGGTATAGATTTGCAAATGCTTCCGTTCTTTGCATTGATCCTGGCCGTAGGCGACCAGTATAGATCCTCACAGGCCACGAACAGTGTTCTTGGTGTCTCTTTCTTTCTCGCAGGTTTCTTTCGTGTGGAACATTTTTGAGTTTTGAGGCTTTTGGGTTAGCAAGCCTTGAGGAAATGGGCCAGGCCAGGAGCTCAGGACATATGCATTCTTGAGGGTCTTTAGGCCGAGAGGTGGGCTGCTCGCCTGAAAAGGTGGGGTCGTGGGGTGTGGGGGGGGGGGGGCGAAGGCTTTCCTTGCAGAAGCCTGACCCTCTGTCTTCATTGATGTGGTTCCTAAGATTTTTGGGGAAGCTCACCCACTCATTTTTCACAAGGTGTCCTTGTGCTATCCAGCTATGCCGTTGAACAATCCCTTTCTTTGAGTCCTCCGGTCTAAGATGTGCATTTCTTTTGAATGTCTTTGCCCAAGGCGACCTTGAACACGGCAGTGCTGCCGCAGAACAGCCATGTGGCCGTTTGCGGCACAGGTAGGTGTTTCTATTCTTGTAGCTCCTAAGTGATTGTGGACCAAAACCTGTCAGGCACTTGCCGTGAATCCAGTTCGTGACAGCCTGCTAGACCTAGCAATTAAACTGGTGTTGAGTAGGCTGAGCCTGGTTGATTGTCACTTCAATGATTCAAGTGGGAGTCTATCCGACTAGCGGAAATTGCATTGCAAAGACTCCAAATTTGGAGGGATCCAGACTTTCTTAAGGAAGGTGCTGGAATGAATGCATTGTGCTCCTGATGGTCGTCAGGGCTACTTGATTTGAAGTGCATGATTTTAACACATGACATGTTTCACAGTAAGCCTGTGGGACATCACGAACGGCACCAGCCAGTCCAGGATCCGGAAGTTTTTGTTACCCAAAAGACATAGTCACCAGCGCTTGAACTCCTCTGAGCCTCTTTGGCTTGAGGGGCACCTGGCTAGCATTGAGTTGCCTCGAGAACCACAGCTTGGGTTTGTCGAAAACCAAATCTTTAATTTGCGTTTCGCTAGCGCCACGTGCGCTGTGCTTCGAAACAGGTCGGATGGGTACCGAAGTCGAATGCCCTCGGAGTAGACTTCACAAGTGCCTTAGAAACCCCCCTGGGTCATGTGAAGCCCCATATCGTTCTTTAGGCCTGCAAGCCGTGGAGAGAAGCTCGCTTGCCTGAGAAGAAGAGAGTGGATGGGAAGGGTCGCAGCCCATTTGGCAAGCGCATTTGGAGATTGGAAAGGCTCTTGCAATTGTCAACGGTCTTCTTTGCGAAGCTTTTGGCTTGTCATCGCACAATGCGAAACTTCTTCAAGAAGAAGGACGGGCTATTCAAGTGATTTGCTAGCTGCTAACCGCAAGACTGCCTCGAAGCACCATCGCAGGAGGCCGTGTCTGAGGGGGTGGCGCCCACCCTGCCAGCAACATCAGCAGAGAGTGCGGGCACCAGCGACTGCCAATTGTAGCGACTGAGCTGCTTGGGCTTGCAACAACTCGAAAGAGCTGTTGAGGTCCGTCTGACTTGGCCTTCCTCCCACCCAGTCGGAGTGGAGCTGGTGGTGATTGGCCGCCGCGCTCCACGTGTGCAGCTCAAGGACTTGCATCACATCAACAACCTCACAATGACGTGGCGATAAAGCGTGCACAAAGAGAGGGGATACAGGAAATAATGTAGTTACAGGTGTTATGGGCCAAGCATAGCAAACGTCTTGGAACGACATATTTGGTCTTGGCCAGATTGTATGTTCCCACTCTGAGGCCAGACAGGTGGAGGAACTCCGAGCCGGAGGCCAAGGGTCTTCGAGTTCAGCTGTTGGGAATCTCAAAATCTGTTCACCTCACAAAAACAGGTGTACGTTGGCTAACCGTACTTTTTGCTGTTCATTCTTCCAGTCTTAGCTTTATGATGATTTAGGAGTCTGCTTTTGTGGTTGAGGTTTGACATATATTATGTAAACATATATAATATTTTTACTGGTTCCCTTTCCATTTTGCACCTGTCCTCTTCCAAGAGTTGTCTTCTGCATCGCAAATAGTCTCTTTGAGAGAGTGGGTTGCCGCTGGCTTCTTGTCCGCTTCTGCTGTTAGAAGCTGTTTCGAGTTTGACCTTGGCCTCTAAGCAATGTGGACGCTTGACCAATACATGTTCGGGTGCTTGCCAGATCAAAAAGAAAAGCTCAGTTGATTTCATGCCGATTCCCCCTGTTGTACCGGTTGCCCAATGGCCTGTTTTGGGTTTGGGAATTGCTTCAGTCTGGTTATGGAGTCGGTAGTGCTCGTTGCTCCCAGGAGATTGTGGTTCCGGGAGCCAGGCAGTCAAAGCTTGCAGGCTTGGCCTGGGCTGTGTTGGTCCTGTGTTGGCCGTGATTCTTAGTAAAGCTCCCGAGGAGATTCTGACAGAGATCACTTTTCTGAGAATGCCCCAAAAGCCTGTGGCAGGTCTTTTCGATGAGAGTCCGGACACGGGAAGTGTTGATGCTCCTCTGTCAGCTCAGGCCGGATGTGTTCGGATTATCAACATGAGAAGTGTCAAAACTGCTCGAGGTTGAACCTGCTCGACGACACGGTCAAGGCCAAGGCGTGGTTTTACCCTGTGAGGGTTTTGTTGACAGAACAACCTTGAAGATGTCATCATAGTAAGTGCTAAAGCAGTTGTAATATGTTACTGCTTCCTTTTTGTTTTTTCTTTCATTGAACTACAGACTTTGTCTTGTGAGCAGACTTTGAGGCGAGCCAGCCCTGACCTCCTCCATTGAAGGGGAGCCCTCGTCGCACGACAATCGCCAGGTCGGAACGCCCTTGGTGCAGCCGCTTTTTGATAAGATGTTTCAATCAAGAGACAAGTTTCCTATGCTGAAGATCCCATTCCATGGCTCGGCTCGGTATCTTTTGGGCACTTAAGGCTTGAGCCTACATAGCAGACTGACAGAAACCAAGGGAGAACAACCTGGAAGCACGTTTTGTAAGTGCTGATTGCGGTATTAACATGTAATTATCAACTTTAACTATATAATGACTGAATGGCCAGCTTTCTTCCATCTTCCACTGCAAGTTCCAAAAGTGAAAAGTACTTCGCACGACAACCGTTGCAGCAGTTTTTGGCGCCTTGACATGGCGCGTGAAGGGGACTTTCTGGTGCGGAGCGATGGTCCGCACGAGAGAGTCTTCCGCCTTCGCAATACCGAGCTGGAGCTGCTTGGCTCTGGTGGAATAGCATGTATATATATATATATTATATATATAGAGAAGAAAGGCAAGAGATGAGAAAAAGGAAAGAAACGAGAAGAAAGGCCTTACCTTCCTTTTTCAATCTTACCGCTTTTCTTCAACTGTTGTGCAAGGTTCAAAGGAAGGGGTGAACACTTAGGTAGCAGGCCAGCTTGAGATCCAAGGATTGACTGCGAATCAATCTCCTCCGAGTGGACCACGGACTCAGAAGCCGAACGCACCATTCAGCAAGAGCAGCTTGGGAGTAGAGGCATAATTGAGGATGCTTGGCCATGATGTGAACATGTTATGTTGCATCAAGACTACAGATAGAGCAAGCTTACTTTGTCAGGTGTGCTGGCCACAGAATTGCCCAGGTTCCCACTAGCCAAACTGAATTCTCGGTGTCTTTCTTGAGAATGGACTTTGCCTCGTAGCATTCAGGAAAAGCAAACTCGCAGAAAGCGGAAGAAGCGTGCATGGCGGTTGCGCCATTGGCTGTCCCTTGGACCTAAAGAAATGACCTGAAGGGAAGAGCAGCTTTTGACAGCGACTTTTCAGTGTAATATGCAGTTTCAGTAACTGTGACTGTTTGCGATTTGCCCTCCCCTGGTGATAAGAAATTATACTCAATTCAGATGATGGGCTTTCGGCATGGCTCTTCCCCCTTGCAAAGTGGATCGGAAGAGCTTAAGCACCCACCATGACCATCCCTCATGTGAGGAGACGCGACGATGACTCAGACAGCAAGAGCAGCGACTCCGATAGCAGGGGCCTTTCTTGTTTGTATATAGATCTGGAAAAGAAGCATCACAAGATACAATGAGGGATGCTTTGTTTGGAGTTTAGAGTTTAGAACCGTGCAAACAGGGTAGAAGTCAACATGGCACCAGAAGGCTGTGAGATTGACTTGGAATCACAGAAAGGCTTTGGTTCTTCAAAAGGCACAGAAAGGCTTTGGAAGTCGCATGGCATGAGGCAGCAGTTCAACCAGCAGTGGCAGCTCCAGTAGCACGGACGGTGGAGAGCTGGGAAGCTTCAAGCGCCAACGGCAACAGGTCGGGGCCTTGTTACTAGTAGTGATGCACTTGTTACTCGTAAGAATGCTACTAGGGGCTCCTGGCCTCACTACTAGTAACAAGAAGCTACTAGAAGCAAGCATTAGAAGTAAATTAACATTTAATTAGAATTGGACCAAGAAGCTACTAGGACCTTTTCGCGCGCGCACGCGCGCGCGTGCGCGAGCGTCCTTGCTCCTAGTAACGATGCCCTTGTTACTAGTAGCGATGCATTTGTTACTAGTAGCTTCTTGCTCCTAGTAGCGATGCCAGGAGACCCTAGTAGCGTCCTTGCTCGTAGTAGCGATGGCGATGCCCTTGTTACTAGTGGCTTCTTGCTCCCCCTAGTAGCGATGCCAGGGGCCCCTAGTAGTACTTGCTCCTAGTAGCGATGCCCTTGTTACTAGTAGCGATGCACTTGTCACTAGTAGCTTCTTGCTCCTAGTAGCGCCCTAGTAGCGTCCTTGCTCCTAGTAGCGATGCCCTTGTTACTAGTAGCGATGCACTTGTTACTCGGAGTAGTTCTTTTGTGATTCTGGTCTATTCAGAAGATTCAGCCTTCCATGAATCAACAGGTCCAATTTGTACCAGCAGGACCTCTTTTCCTTTTCACCTTCTTTCCTTTCGTCTCAAAGAAGGTCCAGCAGCAGTGGAATATCATCAAGGGCCTCAAGTCCAACTTCTCGCCACCGCTGGATGGCAATCGACTCAGAAGCTGCAGTGATTTGCTGCTGATGAATTGCACCATGATGCGACATCTGACAGCAGTCTGCTGTTACCCCCTGCTTGGTTTGTTCGAGTCATTGATTCTTAGAGACTCAGAGAGCAACCATGTTTCCAAGATGTGCTAGCAAAATCTCCAGAATTAAGGATTGCTTATTCTAGCCACTTGTTTCCGGTTCTTGGATGTTCTCTACAAATTCTACTACACCTGCACACAACGCCTGGGCTTTCCACTTGCTATTCCAAGGCCCGCCGGTGCTGCCCACGGAGGATCAACCGCTTCGCAACGACACAGAGGATCGACCGCTTCCGCGAAGCGTCTCCTCTTCCGGCTTGTGCCTTTGCTGGGAGTGGAAGACACGACCAGCGAAACAACACGACTGGAATCCAAGCAAATCCTGAGGATTTGCATCGCCTGTGTGCATTTCAGAGTCCAATTGGTAACATCAATGGCCTAAACTGTAGACCAATTCTTATTTTGTCTTCGAGCTCCCTCCCAGCGTCAACCAGCCGAGGTGTTGGTTCGAATCTTCCAAGAAGCGCGGGCCACAGACGCCTCCTCTTCACAGATGCATCAGACTTTTCTTGTGAAGAAGCTGAGATATCGAGCCTTTGCAGTGGCGCCCGGCTTTTTGCAGCAGCAAGACATTGAGGATGGGTCCTTCCGGTGTTGTTTGTTGTTTCACATTTTTAACACCAGCTTGGCAACTTTTGCATGGGTTTTTCAGTGCTACTTTCCCTTGCTGAGGCCATTAGCAGCGCAGCAAAGCACAGCTCCGTCCGCGAGATCAATGACCGCAAAGGCTATTTGGCCTTCAAACACAGGCGGCAAACCGCTCGCAGTCTTGCACTTGCACCTTCAGTCTCATCTTACCAATTTGCCCGCCAGCTGACCTTCAAAAGCTGACAGTAGCATTCCTTGCTCAAGATCCAATTCTTTTTTTTGTGTGTGTGCGTGTGTTGGAATTGGACCGTGTTGCAGTTGTGCAATCGCTCAGGGTCTGGCGCTTTGAGTTGCAGCTGCGAGCATTGTGGCCAGATCTTTATGCTGCCTGGTGTTTTTCAAGTGTCAATCGCATCAAAGACTTGGTCCTGCCAAGTCTTTGGTTGATTCATTTATGTTGTTTGCTCCTTGTTCACTTGCTCTTCTGATGCCGGTGATTTTTCATCGGCTCAAAGGCTCGCTTGATGGCTGTGATGCGCAGCGCGGACGAAGCGAAATGGAAGCGGCTCAGCGCCAAGTCCAGGACCCACTGTGTGCCAAAGCAAACAGGTGGAACAGGTGTTTGGTGGCGAACGAGTGGAGTCGTGCCAGGAAGGTGTATCCAGAGGTTGAATATATCGAATACGATGTAGAAGAGATGAAAGAGCCATGCTTTATTGAGCCGCATGTCGACAACAAGTCTGCAGCAACTTGGCCTGCAGAAGCTACTAGGGGCCCCTGGCCATACTACTAGGAGCGATCGGACGCTACTAGGAGCAAGGACGCTACTAGGGGCTCCTGATCCTACTAGGAGCAAGGACGCTACTAGGGGCTCCTGGCCCTACTACTAGGAGCAAGAACGCTATACTAGGAGCAAGGACGCTACTAGTAGCTCCTGGCATCGCTACTAGGAGCGATCGGACGCTACTAGGGGCTCCTGGCCCTACTACTAGGAGCAAGAACGCTACTAGTAGCAAAGGGCATCGCTACTCGGAGCAAGGACGCTACTAGTAGCTCCTGGCATCGCTACTAGGAGCGA